ATTAGTCATTTTGTACATCATGCATAGTCTAGGACCTAAGGACCTCTAAAACAAAACTGGCCGTAGACGACCGTAGACGAAATGGCTTGGCCATGTATTTAGATTGGATGGCACAAGAATACCCCAAACAATCTTAACTTGGAGACCTGTTGGAAAAAAAAAAACTGCGTTTGAGTTTATCACGCTTGCAGCGACACAATACATGCACATGGTGCACAAACAGTCGTCAAATTAAAAAAGCGAAATGGAGTAAAACTTTAGATCCAACACAAAGAAGTTCTCTCACCTAGAACTTTCGGCCAGTTACTCTGGTCTTCCTCAGTAGACTGACCAAGTGAGACTTGTCACGTGGCTTCTTTGAAGTGTGACGTTAAAAACTGGGGTCAAAAGGTATCTGGTAGACAATGCCAGCCCCCGTCGCGGCTGGCAGACCTTTTCTACAATGTGTACAGGATTTGCATGTACGAATCCCCCAAACAGGCTTTCAGACCTTGTACTATAAAATCCTACTTCCAACACAGTAAAACAACGCTGATTACACTTAACGATACTTTGATTTTCCCCTTACAGGAATACCTACATCAAATATTGAACCTTGCCATCTTTCCACCCCGCTCATAAAACCCGTCACAAATCCGTTTTCATGTGAAATTACAGCTACACATGGCTTGTAAACGCTGTGACTTTGTTATAGCTGGGGTAACTTTGTGAGGGTCGACAACCCTGGATCTGGGTTCATTGCACTATACTATAAAATTGCTTTAGTTACCGGAGAGCAGCTTCAATTTGATACTACTAGTAGGTCTTAACCTTCGTTACCCTTTCTTTTTATGGTACTTTCATTAGGGTATGACATTCGTAAATAAAGTTTGTAATCCCTGTGCCTGGGCATAGGAGATAAACCCTACTTTCGTCGCGTTATGGCAATGGAATATTCAACGACTTAACCCGATGGGGACTTCGTCTCGTAACCGGTTTATACGAACAGTTTTTTAAAATCGTATCTAGATAGTCAAGGACTTTTAGTTTAGAAATTTAGCTATCTTGTCGAGTATAATACTATCCTTCAAATAAACGTATGAAGAATCTATTTGGAGCAATGGATAAAGGCAAAAATGGGTTCACAGCGATACCAACAACCTACAAAGTAAACGGCGCAGTGAAGTTTTGTAGGGTCCCAGTTACGACGAGTTTCCAGGTTTAAATGGTTTGGTTTAAGCCATTATGCCGTAAACTTTTAGTGTGCAGCTATACGGTTCAATCTTCCCTGGGATTGTCGTAAAGAACGCTAAAATCTCGAAAGCTTTTAGAGAAGGTTCCAAAAATAGGAAACAATATCTCCAGTCCTGAGCAGGGGAAATCTAAGAGGCCATGGTAAAGCCACAAGAAGTAATTTCTATGGATGACATCAGCACGCGCATTAATTTTCGCTTGATTTCAGGAAAAAAAAGAAATTCTAACAGTGGTCAATTAACATGCCGAAAATTGGCAAGGATGTCTGATGCCATGCTGGGACGTGGATGGCAGATAAATATGAAGAGAGGAGACAAGACAAGGCTCTGCGTCTGATTTATTTATTTGCCTTTTGTATGTCATTTTCACTAAATCAAAACCGAATGACCGAATGTATAATGATGAAAACGTTTTTTCAGTGACAAATGGATGCTGTAATAGTTGGCAGTAAACGGAGTACAAGATAGTGATTTCTTGTTCAACTAAGATTTATGATGTCGAAATTTGAAAATATAGGAATCTTGTTTTTTTTGCCCATCTTATTTTTTCACCTTATCGCACTTGATTCGGAGTCTGCGGAGGATGGCATCCATAAAAATTACTTGCTGTGGCCTACTCGTGAAGGATATTGGTATGCACGAGAATCCGAGCCCCCATTACTGTCTGCTCTAAAACAGCCGTCACCAAATGTTAATGGCTTCTCATGACTTGCCTTTCTTGTAATTGACTTTCACATTGCACTAGATGTTTGAATAAGATGCCTCTGAGCTCCAGGTCCTACAATAGACGTTAAATTGAATGGTGTAGGATGGCATATATATGAGGACCTGTTGATGAAAGTATGATTTTTTTACATAAAGTACTGTGCACTTTAAGATATTTGGATCACGATATGGCCGTGTTATTTCAGTTTATGATGCATCACTACGATACATAAATGGGTTATTCGTGTATAATTATGCATGTAAATGCTATTTGACTGGATGTAAAATTGTATCGTAATGGTCTTCTACACTTTGAGCTTAAAGTGCACATTCTCGTTTCCATTATGTGACGTTGTTAGTGACAAAGGAAGAGCACTTACTTCCATTATGTGCATGTCCTAAAGGAGTTCACTGAGTGCAAAGTGTAGGCAAAAGTGTCCTTTTAGCTAGATGTGTTTTAAAGTATTACGTGATATCAAGGACATTAATGTGTATACTGTCACTGACTTATCAGAAATGATAAAAATATTCAGCAACTTAAAATGCCTTTACTGAGAAGCGGCAATAGTTTTGGACCGTTACGCAATTTGTTACTAACACAAGCTAAAAGTAGTTACAGCATACTGTTTAAAGTCTCGTTGAAAGAGATTTTGTGACGGAGATAGTATCATCTCTGGCGCCTGACCCGCACTTAAGGTATTCGTTCTAGCAGGTGGTCTCGTTTTGCAATATTAGTACGATTCATCTCAGCCACGTAAAGCGACATCTGGGTGCCCCATTATAGTCCATATATTTTTCAATCACTGCATTTTATGACAGATTACCCCACCCCTTAGGGCACTCTGTCTGTAGTAAATTTTACAGCATATTGCTTTTAGTAATTCCAAATGGATCGTAAGTTTGTGCCGAGTCTTCTTATTACATACACTATCCATCAGTCTATCCCTTATTAAAAACCTGTTTGCAAGGAAATAACGACATTTTATTGGGATTTTTATTGGTTTTATTTCCTTGTTGCATATTGCATCAGCGCCCCATACAAAGCCGAGAGGATATTGTGCTACTCAGCGCTGAATATCTATTTGAATTTTTAAGGTGTATCACTGTTTTAGTTGACAGTGTGCAAGTCATCCGGTTGGCACAGATACATATTTTAGATCATGTTGATTTCATATAAATATTGATGGCATCCGCGCGCGCATGAATTTTCGTCCGTTTCCAAAAAAAAGTTTTCGGCCAAGCTGAGCTAAGCGAAAGAGACATTACAATATCTCATTTTGAGCTGCCCTCAATCTTTATGGATTATGGTGGCTACTAGTATTTCTCCCTACCTCTCCGGTAGACTTACTAGTGCAAGGACGTAATTTCTAACGTATACATGTAGAGGCAGAAAGGCGTAGTTGAATGGATGGGCAATAGTTGACATAGGTCAAATAGGGATTTATCTAGGCGAGTCGGCTGGCTAGAATATTTCACATTGCTGACAGAGGTGAATAGCCGGACAAAGTTTCCGTGTTTGACCGAATTCTGTAATTACTCCCGTTTTATGTATTTTTTTTACCTCCATGAAAAATTGAGGAATTTTTTGGTGTCTGTGTTTCCGCACATTTGTAGTCAGCATAACTTCAGAACGCCTTTATGGATTGTGATGATACCAGAAGAACTTATTTTTTTATTTATTTTTTCCTGAACATGCTATTGTTTTTTGCAGTCTGTATAAGAAGAGAATAGACACTATAATCAGTAATGCATCTTTAAATATTTTTAAGACACCCAGTGTAGATTGATACGGCAGTTCAGTAAGCTTACAAGACACCTACTACTAAGTAGTTTATCTTCACTATCCAGTAAGCCGTAACGAATCTCTTGTTGTATTTACGTTAATGCAAAGGCCTGTACTTGTGTGCAGCATAGCAATACCATGTCTCAGAAGCTTCTTGTTGTCGACGAAAGTATGCATCTTACTCTAAGACCCGTGTCGAAAAGGGGCTCGAGGGGGCGTCTGTATACATTTGTACCGCCCTTTGCAATAACTTACATTATTGCAGCTGCGTCTCTAACCTATTAAAGGCAATAGCCTTAGCACGGCCAATGCCCTTTAAAAAAGAAAAGCAACTGTTACAGTTCTACAGCCTTGCCTCATTTTTTTTGCCAGTACTAGATTTCATGATAGGTACGTTGTCCTAAAAAAACTAATGGTACAAAATAACGTTTAACACCATTTTGCTGCTTAACGCGTTTTTTTTTTAAACTCAAATAATTATAAGTACTAAATAAATGTACTAAATAATCAAGTCTAGTTCTACTTCTGCTCACCTACTAAGTGTGTGTTATTCATAGCTAGATATCGTCATTATATGCTAGATGTGTTGAGACATGAATTCCGTGAAAAGTTAGTTTGCTGATATTGAATTTGTAGAGCTCCAGTCAGTGTAAGGGTCACCCTGCACTTTACAGGTCTGGTTCCCCTGACAGCATTTTGGCATATTAGAAAGTTCTGCCAGCTGTGTACGATTGAAACCGCAATAATGGAACGTAATATGCCAAACGTGCCTGGCAGGTCTAATAGGTAAAACCTTTTGATTCCATACATACGTTGTAAAAACTTGTTATACAGCGCATATTTTGTCTAGTCCCATGGTGTTTTACTACAAATCTATCTTTTACATAACATTTACCTATACCAATTCCAGTACATTCAGAATACAATCATTTTAGTGGTCTAGGTTCATTGCAACAGTTAAACGTTTTACGATGCGACGATAACACTATAGGAAATAGATAATTTATGTTAAATTAATTGTATAAAATGTTTTACCAACGAGACTAAATTGCAGGAAATGCGTGCCTTCACCCATATACTTAGCGCCCCTAAAATGAAGAAAAGAGCAGAGACCAAATTAGATGGTAAAATTTACAATTTCCAGTAAACATTGTGGAGACATTCGTAAAAACTTGACTGAAGAAATCCATACATACTAATGTATCAGTCCATCTCCTACGGATTAGGGAAACACTTCTTTTCCCTCCGGCTACTCTTTTAGCTGGTAATATTCAGGTGAAAAGCTCCACGCAACATATCGTCTGGGCCGGACAGTAATGAGCAATTTCTAGAGCGTTGGTAATGTCTTCTTCAATGTTCAAACTTTGATACGATATTTTTGTCATACTTTACTTACTTTACTTTATCCATCCACTTCTACAAACTGGGGTGTCGTGGGGAGGTACAGTTGGCGGCTGACGGCGAGTCTGGAGGCTGTAGTAGACGCAAGGCCATGTCTGTTCAGGGTGTCCTTCACAGCATCTATCCATTTCTTCCTTGGTCGTCCCCTGGCCTTGGTTCCAGATTTTCTGCTGTTTCTACTGATTTTTTTCATAATTTATTATAAATCATTACTGCCTCTGTCAATTCTTTACTTTAATCGTAGTGATCAACGATATTAATTTCCCACATTACTTGCAGATTACGTTGCTAATGTAGACTCTTATCAGCATCTGTCCATGTGCTGTAGGTACTATTCTTTTATGTGAATTACCTTTATGTGTATGCTGTCTTATGTTGTACATTTTATCCAATGTTGCTACTGAGATAACCGTATAACTACTGATGAAGCACAGTGCCTCTGTATATTTTCTCTTGTGTGACTATGTATCTTTAGAACAAGATTTTATAGCCAGAACTGCATAAAAGAGAATGCACTCTGAAAGCAACTTTACAAGTCCAAGGACGTATGAGATGGCAGCAGAAGGTCGTAGTTGAAAATTGCATTCACGGTATATTAGCTCTTTTGACATTTCAGATGAAAGAACTGGGTGAGAATTGGCTTTGTAGGGTTCCTAAGGAATACATTATGTAACCTTGTTGTTGACTTTGGCGTTAAATGTACTATTTTAGCTGTGAAATCCTCTGCAAAATGTCATAAAATGTCAAAGCCGTAAATAGAAGGAACAGAGCGAAAAGGGTAACGAAGCTTTTAATTATCACCGGCTTTCACGCCACAGTACTGTTTAATGCCAATTAGGCCACACCAATTTAATTCGTTGGTTCTCGGATTTTTTCAGAAAAAATATGAAGCGACAGGGCGAAAAAAAATAAAAATAAAAACAGGTCTAGGCATCCTATTATAGGCTTAAATGGTACGGAATGAGCCATGAAGTCAACACAAAAGGCTGGGTTAAAATTTAAACATTGAATTTTGAACTTTTAATCAAACCACTGCATTGATAGATGGGAAAACTGTAATAACTAGGAAGAAAAGGACTTTCCTCAACTGTTGGGGGCAAAATATGAGCATTTTTCAGTTGATTCAGGACCAGAATCAATTTTTTTTTTGCAAATCAGAAAAAAACGAAGAGGCGAATCCGAGAACCAACAAATTAAATTGGTGTGGCCTTATTACAATGCCTTCCTGTAGTGACTAAAAATAACACCAGGAATCAAGAGAACGGCAAGCATGTTGACGCCGTGAGGTGTTTTGGAGATCCTGGGGGTAAAGTTACTCTTTCCACAAGATTACTTGGCGGCTTTGAAAGCTCTTTTCGATTCATCTGAGGACCAGTTTCATGTAGGGCTGCATAAGCCAAAAGGTAGTTTGATATAATAGCATTGCGCCTGTGGTGCGGTTATCAATACATTTCATGAAGTCTATTTAATAGAACATTTTTCATCTTTGTATGCTTTGTGCATACCTTGGCAACAAAGAAGAGATACAAAAATTATTAAAAAAAACATTTAAAAAGAAAACATTTTCTTCTTGCCTTTTTATTGATACCAAACGATTCATTAAAGGAAAAAAATAGTTCAATTTAGTCCATGTCAGACATTTGAGACATAAACCTGAAAAAAGATCCACCTTTTAGCTTGCTCATATCCATCAAGTAATTCAAATCATTGCCACATTGATAATGCTACTTAGTGCAAAAGATTATATCAGTAGCAGTAGTGGCCATAAATAATACTTAACGCTGTAATGGCTAATAAAGATTATTGCACAATTGCACATGTCAGCTAGGAACATTATTTGTCCTCAATGAAGGCAAGGTTGCCATATATTATTCAGTCAAGTTTGAAGGTAAAAGAAGCATGGAACATGGCTCAAGGCTATCCTATATGTCGACTGAATAGCTGACTGCTCTTTAGGCAAGTTCCATTTTGCTGCGGCAAGATGTTCTGTACGCTGTTCTAATAGGACAAAACTGGCACGTCGACAAAACGTACTACGCCTGCAGGAATCCCTAATCTTTCGCGGTTTTCGTTAGATTTTTAGTTAATGTTGCATCAAAATTTTGCCCTGTTGCAGATGACATCTTTTCCCAAATTACATCTCAATCTACAAGCAGGATGTTAGCCTTATATGCACAAATAGGACCTTATATGAGACGCTCTGCTGAAGTGCTATGCTCAATACATTTCTGGTTTCGCACAGGTGTTTGAAAATGTGAAAT